CTTTTCTGCTCTTGCACATATCTTTGGTAGTGCTGCAGTGCCGCGCTTCCAACTAACAACTGGCATATATGAACCGCAAAGGCGACAAACCAGGTAACCTGGCAGCAGCATAAGCTGAAAAATTAGCAGAACCATTAGCTCACCTTCTCATTAATTAATTACAGTACCAGAGAGAAGTATCAGAGAGAAGACGACGTGCATTACACAGACATTACGTCCATTTTCTTCATTCTCGTTTTATACATATATGACACACATGTATGCGAACATCTAAGAGCCAAGAAGGTGAGCAAGTAGTCTGTAGTGGAGTTTGTTCCAGGTTTTGACTAGCAGAGTTTCAGGATGAGGACTGGAGAGCTCTAGTCAATATAAACTGGTGTGAAGTGTAACAGTACTGCGACCCATTTGCAGATTCAGGTGATTGGCAGGAAGTGTCAAGCCAAACTTCCCAAGTTTCATCTGGTCACAATCTTTGCTTTCTACTGTTTCCGATTCCTTTCAAACCAAACAGGTTGTCCAAAAATAAATAGTAAGACAAAATAAACAAGTTGTTTAAAAGTGAATGAAAAGTTCTCTCCCAATCTTTCCCTAAAGGAAAAATGACTGGACCAATTATCCCTTTCCTACCGAAAGGATGAAATCACTTTCAAGAATGTGCCACTAGTGCAGGAAACTCAAACCAGTAAAAATGCAATATCCTGTCAACAGATCATCTGGCAGGGAACCAATCTTTTCTCCGCTCATAGTTATCATGCTTTCAACGAACCCAACTCGAAATCCTGTCAATTATCAACGCTAACAAATGCAACTGCAAGAACCTGATCCCGTCTCTGAGCAAACCCACTGTCCTGTCGCCATCCTCCCAGATGAATAAGCCCCAGGTCCTTCCCCCATATCCTCCCTCCTTTCCCACGCACAGAAGCTATATAAATGAAGCTTCACTGCACTTAACATCATTGTTACCATACGGCTGGACGCTGTTCGGTGCAATAGTTATTTGCGCTGCGTGGTGCGGTTGTTTTGCTTAATTGCGCACTTGTATCAGTTTGTTGTAAAACTGTCTCTTAAAGGCGTTTTCGTGTTTGATAGTGAGGTAGAAACATTAACTGAGTTCTCACTACGTGTAGTTTGTTTTGTCATGTGTTGTAGTTCCAGAAGACGAAGCAATGGCCACAGATACTAAAACTCGCGATGTTATTTGTCTTAAAGGATCGGCGCAACTTGTTCAGGAATTCTTTCGTAAGCTTACGGTGTTTTGGATCTTTGTGGCCTAAAAATTTAGTTATCTTGAAGTTTAATGACTTACCCGTGGACACCACGACCTTCTGTTATTTTGGTTTAACGGTTCTAGCATTATTTTATCCGACTGGCATTTTAAGCAGTTTGAGAAACGGCAGAAGGCTAAAATAGCTCTAGATTAAGAGTCTACCTTGTTTTTTGAGCTTTCCTGAAACTTCTGGAACCGCAGCTTTTATCTTATCAAAAACTCGCTTGAGGCAGTTAAAATGACGCTGGGTTTAGATATGCCCATCCCTTCCCCGTGTTGATCACTGAAATCAGCAACTTCACTTAAGTCTCTTACTTCTCACTTCTGTCTTCCAATATATTACGTGACAAATCAACTTCTGAGGGCAGAATTTTATTTAAACCCTTATCTCTCAAGCCTTAATTTACTATTATAAACCAAGTTAATATTTACTTTCGTTTAAATAAAGTGATTTTATAGATTTCGGTCTTAATAGCATTCTTTACCTGCGAGGTTTATATCCGGCAGATTCTTTCAAACGGGAAAAAAAATATGGACTCACTATGCTTGTTACTAATAATCCGGCATTGCAACAATATTTGGCGCCACTCCTTGAACAAGTTAAATGTAGGTTCTTTTCTTTCTAGTGTTTGAACAGGAGCTTTTAGGTGTTGTTATGGATTAGCTAGGTCGCATTACCATTCTCTTTCAGTTTATATTCTTTTGCAACTATTTTTAGAGAAAAATTGATGGATTATATCTATATTTTGCGCTTAACTGCGATATTTCCATTTTCTGCATGACCGTTCCGCTCGCTTTCTTTTCTTGTTTCATTTACCAAAATCCATTAAGTCCGATTAGGTTTTTGACTTCTACATCCATATTCCATCTGGTGTATTCCACTTTACAATAAATTTTTGTAAAGAGATTTTCTGTTCTTGGAATGGTTGCCCAACAAAGAACGTTCACTTGTTTAATTAGTTACTCCATTTCCTGAGCAGTGATGTTTATTACATTTGGAGATACTGTTAGACATTATCACCTTGTGTGCAGCTTTGGAGTTAGGACTGAGATATTATTTGGTTCCATTGAATCATCTTTTTAGTAAATAAGCATTAGGTGTTTACTGACACACTTTCGAATACGGAATATAATCGTAGAGTTACTGGTGAGAGCGAACTGTCGTAAATTACACCGGATAAGAAATACTTTAAGCATCATTCTTACCGTAGTAACTTTCGAGATTAAGTTAGCTGGTATTTAAGGAAATAAGGTGTTTTTAACAAAAATAACAAAAAAATCCTAAAATGGATCACAGGTAACGCATCCGTTATTGAACCAACACGATTGATGACTGTATTTGAAGGCAGTTCTTCTGTTTTGTTTGTGAGTTTGTCACTAGCACCATCAAATGTTTTAAGTTCTCCCCGATTCTGCTAAACTGCTTACTTCCAGACTGGTTGGAAAATAAGCAGTTAAGGAAACTGGTTGTTGTGATCTCAAATATACAGACTAAAGACGTACTGGAGCGTTGGCAGTTTGACATTGAAACAGATGCACTTATTCAGCAAGACGGGTATTTTTAATATTATTTGTTGCGTTTCTTTGCTAAAAAGGACTTTTTTCCCAAAAAAAAAAAGAAAAAAAGTTATCTGGATCTATGGAAATATTCTTTCATCTCATCATTTCTCATAAATTTTTGATCGGCGTAAGGTGGATGTAGTGTTAGAAACGGAATAGAATGAGATAGAGAAACCTGGTTTTTTATTGAAAAAGCAAGGGAAATGGGTCTGCAAATTCTCTTTTTCAGCGAAAACACGACCAAACAAAAGGATGAAAAGAAAATCAGACAAGAAATAGCTGATGTGATCAGGTAAAGTAAAGCTAGGTTTTGATCATTTCCATATTTCAAAAAAGAATTTCTTCTGTAGTTTTTCTGAAATATTTCAACAATTTGCTCGTAATATACTTTCATTGCATTTGCAGACAAATAACAGCCTCGGTAACGTTCCTACCATTGCTTGAGGCACCGTGTTCGTTTGACGTGCTCATTTATACAGGTAAGGAAACGGATACACCGGAGGACTGGACAGAGAGTAGTGCCTGTATAATTAATGATGCCGAGCAAGTACAACTTCGCTCTTTCTCAACGGCTATACATTCAGTGCATACGCAAGTGTCTTACAAACCTTGCTTGTGATGTAATTATTTGCACTACTTTCCATCTTCTATTTATGGAGCATTATCACTGTAACAATCAATGTTGTGTAACATTTTTGTAACACCTAATTGAGGCGATCCAAAATTTTCGTTGGTTGGGAAATTCATGTATTGCTATATACGAATCACCTACGGGGAAGAAGCATCACGTTTTCCCTTAACCCTCCTCATCCATCTATAATTATTTCTACCAGTTTTCTGGGATGAAGTGAATAAAATTACACACACACGCAGTTCTGCATATGTTCATGATTGGCTCACTACCCACACTTTTTTAATTTTTGGGTTTCACTTGATTTATTTGTCTGAACCGTTAAATGTTTCACGTAGTATATTATAAAGGAAGACAGTAGGTGTCACATGACTTATTAGATTTGTCATTTAGCATTTGATGAGATGTGGTGTAGTCTGGTTCGATATGTTCTAGTGTGTACCAGGAGATAGGCTTATTTTTTACGGACGAGGTATGGGATTTATGAAGGACACCGTTTTAGAATGTTGTACATTCATAGAATTCAGGAACCGAGCGTTGGTAAAGATTTCAAATTATAAGTTTTGACGAAATCGTTCTGATCGAGTGGGTCGTAATTGCATTTTTTTTGTGTGAATGTTACACAGAATTAATTTTATTTTATATGGTCTCACTGTCCACCAGGTATTGGTATGAGCTGTACAGTTCGATTTCGTAAACATGCTATTTTCTGAGAGATTTGTGCATTGCTGAGTCACGTTAATTTAACTGTCATATCTCAGCCAAATATCGTGTTAAATATTGGGTTTTGTATGTGGTATGTGTGTAAAGTATCAGAAAGATGCACACTGCAGCATACCCTCATAGACGTAGCTGCAATGAGCTCATGAATTTTACATGTCGCAGTTTTTATAGCCATGCTTCTCATTGCGTAAATTTGATTTTCAACTGTCATCTGTAATAAAAGGATCTTATGGACCCTCCACAATACATTCGATAGATGAAGAGGTAAGGCATTTTATTATCACTGTACATTGCGAACTTTGAACTTGAAAGGCAGTTATTTTAAAATTGTCAGCAAGCTGAACTGATAATCTAACCAAATAAGGAATTCTCAGGTAAGTACATATGATATTAGTGTTTCCTCATTGCCATGCTAAATGTTGTGTATAGACCGTTTTCATTCACTTTCCCGTCGGTATTGTCGGTTCAAGAAACCGCCTTTGATTTTGAAGCTTGCTAGTATCAACTCTATGTTTTGTTTCAACAGATTTATTTACCTTTTCAGAATGAATAGTATAATAAGTCGCATTCGGTCTGGGTTCGATCCAGCTACCTATGGCTTACCTGCCAACTTTTTGCTAACAAAGCTAACACAAATGAAGGGTTGTGGATGTAAGGTTCCGAGAGCGGTAGGTTCTCCATCCCTTGTTCTAATATCGGGTGCACTTGGTCATTGTATGCTTTGTTTGAGAAGCAACTCAGTAATAAATGGCAACAAACTTTAATTTAATTTAATTAATTCCTTTAACTTAGCTGTATCTGAAGTTTATCTGCTTCGGAATAGTGAACACGACTAGATGCACAATTTGAAATTCAAGAGTTTGTATATTTCGCAATGATCACGAAAGCTTTCACATTGCTAAGCGGACGGAATCTTTGCAATTGCATTCGCAACAGAAGCATTTCGAATTGAAGTTACCAGTGATGGTTATTTCTTATTTACTATATCAGGAATGAAAATAAGAGTTTATTTTTGCAAATTTTTCGTCACCCATTTTACTGGAGAACTAACGTTCCTTTCAGGTTTTGTTGGAACTTTTGAAAGACTTGAAAACAGATGAAAAAGCAGATGAGAGAGGTTAGTTTTTACATACGTGTCTGCTCATTCTGTATTATTTAGTTTATATTTGACACGTTTATAAACTATTTGCAGGTATCGGATTGGATAGCTGTGTGATTCCTTTGCGACACCAAGGCTTGTTTCTCGTCCAGACGACAGATTTTTTCTACCCTGTTGTTGATGACCCGTACCTAATGGCGCGTGTTTTTCAGTTTGCCTCCATTTCCATCTATATTTTTTATATTCTGCCACTAAATACTTGCATGGAAATCTGTTGTAGGGCAGGATCACTTGCGCAAATGTTTTGAGCGATCTGTATGCGATGGGAGTGGTTGACTGTGACAATATGTTGATTTTGCTTGGCATACCTAAGGATATCAGTGACAAAGAGCGGGATATTGTTGCCACCAATTTCTTCGATGGTTTCAAGGTATTTTGCAATTAGAGGGCAATTTCTACAAAAGCAGAACTTCTTTAAACTTAAATCCATCACAATATCCTTCCGAAGGCTGGAATAGAGAATCTAAGACTGAAAAACAGTGTTGAATTTCCCTAAGTTTCCAGGATACTGCAAAAGAAGCTGGCACTGCCATCAGAGGTGGTCAGACGGTGTGTTGTCCTTGGTTGCTGCTAGGCGGAGTAGCTACAAGTGTGTGCAGCACTAATGAAATAGCCACGGTTGACGGAGCACGCCCTGGTGATGTTCTTTTGCTCACCAAAGTAGTCTTATTATTTATTTCCGTCTTTATTTTTATGTTACACTTTTATAGCGGTGTTTTGCCTGGCTAACTACATACCGTTTGTGGTTTCTTAGTATGAATTAGTCGAGTACTGTCAAGCGTGACTTACTATCCTAATCAGTTACCATCTTTTTAGTGGCTAACTGTTACGGTAAAAGCTTCGACCCACAACCAAGCACTGTAGTGTGTGATGTATTTCTTTCCCACGTTGCGATACTATTATGCCAAGGGCGATCACATTTCCCAGTTTTAATTAAGTGCTGCCTATAATATCCTTTTAAAGTTTCATATTCTGTTTAACTGCCTGGCAGTTCTAGAAATACCGCTGTAAAGATGTATTTAATATTAGTTATGGTAATTCATATTAAAAGCCTGTCAAGTAGAAGGCTGAAAAAACAATTTACGAGACTTCTGTTGCCGGATATATGTGTGGTATCAGGACTGAGGAAGAACGTTATGAAGACGAACTGAATAATCTGGGAAGTTGTAGTGCATCGCCTAGTAAGTTTTCAGCCACTTGGTGCCCAGGTGGCAGTAAATTCATATGAATGGCTGAAAACAGGGAATCCACGTGTGAAGGAGCTGAAATTAGATGAAGCAAGAGTTGTGCGTGCGTATCAGCAAGTCGTTGAACAAATGTGTCGACTAAATAGAAACGCTGCGCGTATGATTTTGAAATATGGCATTCATGCTTCAACAGATGTAACTGGTTTTGGAATTCTAGGTTTGTTTATGATTTCTTGACTCATTTTTGAACTTTTTAACGACCGAAACCCTGAAGTTCACAAATAGCGAGAAATTCGTTTCCTTTACAGGACATGCTGACAATTTGGCGAAAGCACAGAAAGCGGAAGTGCGGTTTGTTATTCATACCCTGCCTATAATCGATTACATGGCCGAAATCTCAAAAATAATGGGCAATGGTTTCAATCTATTCAGCGGAACATCTGCAGAGACATCAGGCGGCCTCTTAATTGCTGTCGAAAAAGAAAAGGTTATTTCTTTGACACGTTTGTTTTGAAGCGTAACTAAATGCACCAATATTTAGGCAGAACAATTACGTACCGAACTGGAGCAGCTTGATGGATTCCCTGTATGGCTTGTGGGCGATGTCTTTAGTGGTTCACGTGGTGCTATTATTGCTGAAGACGTAAAAATCGTCTCTATAGCTTCGAGAATACACCTTGTTTAAACACTTCTAACATACACCCATTACCACTCGATATATACTTTATCTGTCGTTTCAAATGTAAAGTAGATATAATACTTTTCTGCATATTATCTTGTTTTTTTGTATATTGACCTGTCACCTACCTTCAATTAACATCGAATTAGTGAAATTTCATTCCACACACATAACATTCTATTATGAAAAATAATATCTAGATAAAAAGCTGTTCTATAAATCTCCTTCGCGTTCAATCTTGACCAACTCGATATCAAATTTCAAACTGGCATCGGCTAAAAGGAATAAAATCTAAACAAAGAGTAGCAAATTGCTTACACTCTACAAAGCTGACAACCGATGCACATTATGATTTCCATATTTACATCATTCGGCACCAAATAAGTATACTTACGTGGGATTTTCGGTGGAGAACCGGAACTACCGTAGGCTAGATCAGATGGGATTGCAAGGCGACGTTGTTCGCCCTCGCACATGTTCAGCAGTCCTTGGTCCCATCCCTTGAAGCATCTTTTTGGATAAAACACGATTGTACTACTGTATTTCAAGCTGTGTCACAAATGTCATGAGATTTATAAGTCTTGAACCAGATTTTCAGTCAAAATTCAAAGGTTTCTAATATTCCATATCTACAGTGTTCAGATTTCTGAGGTTTTCACTTTGGTGTGTTCGTACCCGATAGATTTATTAGTCGCATTTCGGATATGAACTGGTCCCTCGTAACATCTTCATTTCTTCGAAACAGTTAAAGGAAGATAAAATGTAATCCGGTATAGCACAGAAGCAGAAGCTCTCGATGCTACCATGACATGTGATTAGCATGGTCATTCACTGAGAATGTGCAAGAATGTCAATATACGAAACGATAAATTTTTGCAGGGAGAGAGAACACGATAAGTTAAAAACACGTTAGAAAAAGTGTTGTAATGAATGGAGATGATCTTGCGTGAAGCGGAAGTTAGTATTTCTAACTTTTGATGTTGTCGATGAAGCACCAGAACGATTCATACATAAAGAGCGTGAATATAAAACACTCACCTTAATGACTTGTCCCATCCCAAGCGTGAATATGAACGGCTTATTGCGGGACCAGCTATTATCGAACTCGGTACCATCTTCTAACATCCCCTGAACATATGAACATGTTGCAACGGAAATCTTGCTGAGTAAAACATATTCGAGAAACTCTACTCCATGGAAGCAAACTTACCACATAGTGCACGTTCAGAGTATCCCCCTTTCTTGACCTCAACTGACAGTTTTCGACACGTTTCTTGATTCCTATTTGCAAACGAGCCGATTCCCTGTCATCGCAATAAACCACGAGCAAAACCAATAACGTGGGGACAACGCTACCCTTCAACATTTGATGAACCACAGTCCCACTTGAATCACCTTGTACGGTACAGTTAGATCACCTTGAAAAATCACTGTGAAATATACATTTTCCCTGGAGTAAAAAATTCATGAAATGCTGACGGGTACTTTAGGTAAACCAATAAATGAACATAACAGATTGAAACGGAAGAGAAGGTAGTTTCATACTAATGAAAACTATAAGTGGAATTAAATATCCAAACATCGAAAAGAATGGAATACAACAACCTTCACGTCTGTCCAATCTGTTCAAAGTCGTTCAGTACGTAGCAGACAGGAAAAACGCAACATAATGAACAAATGAAAAACAATCCCGTTTATACACCACCAAAAAGAAATGCTGATACTTCCACTAGTTTTACAACAAATTTGCAAAAGTATTTCAAAATCGCACGATGCAGAGTAAGGTGTGCAGATCTACAGAAACATAATGTAAGCTCATCATTACCTGCTAGGCAGTTACTTTGAGAACTTTTCTTTACGATTTAAAAAAAAGACTTTTGAGTATAGAACCGAGCCATGCACTGCGTACGACCAATCTATACTAGGTTTCCGGCACTGAAAGCTAGCAGGAGCAATTAGATCAGTTAAAATGTCATACTTGCATGACTTAACATGCGGAAATCAAGAGAAGGAAAAACAGTGTGAGCCAAGAAATCAAAACAACCGAACAGATGAAATACGCACGCATTATTTCCCTCCCCTTCTTTTATTCTAGTTGTTCATTTCAACCATCTTCATAATCTCACACGCGAATCTATGGATGCTTCCTCTACTACATACTTTAACAGAATCAAAGCACATCCATAAATCCTGTCTCAATCTTCTAGAAACTTAAATGATATGACTGAAGACTTTCAATATAAAGATTGTGAAATCCTGAATAAATCACATAATAACGAGTAATAAGGCTGGTCTTTCGCAATGATACCTTTGCATCCAATGGATTCCATTCCTTCAATTTAGTGTAAACGAGTAGGTGTGTGAAGGTGGTCTTAAAATTCTACTTGCTATGGGTTACATATATAAAAATGAGTAGAAGTACAGGGACGAAGATTAAGAAAGAAGATTGGAACTGTCCGCATCATTCGAGATCATCGCTTATCGGTGAAGAAATTATTGCGAAACCTCACACACATTCAATCACATTTCCCTCCACTTATCGAAAGAGTTTTTGCCCGTTCACTGTATGCCTGCAAATTAATCTATGTCTATTTTAAAATTAATCATGAAATAGCACTGTCTAACATTTAACAACACTCTGTAAACAATCAGTTCTCCCATGAGCACTTGATTTTGGAATAAGCATAAATATGCCTTGAATGTAGTGATATAGGCATAAAACTCCAAAAAAAATACATCTTTATCAGATTTGGGAAGTGATTTCCAGACAAATGCCAATTCCCTGATGATATCCTGCTGTTTTTTACCAACGTCGGCGGTCCCTTTTATAGCTTTCTCCTTCACAAAAAGCATCCAACCTGACATTGGCCGTTGACCATCAGCTTCCCGCTTCTACAATTAAACCATGATACAACTGTCAAAATTCAGCTTTGTTCCGATAAATTTTATTAAATATCCTGTTTTTCACAGAAAGAAGAAAAAAACTACGTAAACTTAATACCTGTCCCTCTACAAGTTTAAAAAAAGATCCAAATGAACGCACTTTCCTCCTTTCCAAACGTATTCGTCGTTTTAAGCGAGCCTCGTTCAAATTTTTGGCCCGTCTACGAAGCTCCTCTTTTTCTGCTTCACTCATCGATTCGAATTTTGATCTTTTTTCTTCGTTTATTCGTAATGCTTCATCAACATATTTCTACAACCCACAAATTTAATTTTTGATGGAATATCAGTTTATTCAATGGAACATTAGTCACGACTACTGGCCTACCCTACAAGAAGGCGCTAAGCATATGTAACTTTAATTTGGATATCGTCTATTTTCTATGCAGAAATGCTCCTTAAGCATAAATTCTGGAGTAGACTTCATCGAAAGTTAGAAATAAATGTGACATTGTAATCTATTGTCATAAGCAACCACGAACAAATAATATCCTAATAATTCTGACCTAATGATATTGTGGTAACTGGAAAAAACTACCTTAAAGATCTTTAGATGGAAATTAGATCAAGACTGCTAAATTGTTGAAAAGTGATATGGCCAAACTGTGTTCACTGGATGGAAAGAAAAACGATAACTTTTCTATCAGCTTCGTCTAAATTTTTCCATTGTTTCGTAAGGTTACTGAAAACTTCTGTGGGCTGTTCGTTTTTCCTTGATGCGAAGTTTTCCTTGATGAACAAACTGAACGGTGTTGTTCTACCGAATCCAGGAGGAGGACGCTCAAGCTTTCCATGAAATCCTGCGGTTTTCACTGCAGCATAACATCTAAAAGTACATTAACACTTATCTTCCATAACTATCAATTCCTTCCACTCCATTCAACACCCAACCTTTGTTTTTGAAAGAGGATTAGATACCTGATGGCTGGGGTCACTTTAGCCAAAGATATGTGACGTAAGTTGTACATCAGCGGAAACATGGGGTCTGAGAATTGTTTATTTCTCGCACCGTTATAGTAGCAGCTCGCTAAGAGCTAAAAGATTCAAAATTTTCAGTATTATCGACGAACGATTTTAAGTTTGTGGAATTATAAAGGGAAATAAAAAAGTAGCAACAATTTAGACACAAAGAACTATCAAATGTCGGCCATAGGTTTGTCCTCAAATTCTACAACACTGCAGAATATGACGAACTGCACTATTTGCTACCCTCAAATGGCGTCGAAAACTACCGATAGTATCACAAGTGCTAACTTCATTCCTCATCCAAATATAAGCAAACATGTCACGAACAACACTAAAAACTGGTCTCAGCATTCGATTGCAACCACATTACTCCTCCGACATTTGAAAATATCTCCAAATTGAAGCTAGTTAACGAAATTCTAAACAATTTCATCAAAAATTTTTTCCTAAGCAATCTCACATAAGTTTTTTGAGCTATTCCGATTTTATTACGGGCATTTCGCATTGCATTTAATAATGCCTCATCTTATATTGCCTAATATGTAGGCGGACGTTCAATACCGCATTACTTATTTTCGATCAAGTAACAAATCAATCTTTACAGCATGTGTAAACATGCCAGAATAAAAAACGTCACTACTAATTGCAGTTGGATGTCGAAAATGTTGTTTCAGTTGTCTGGGAAAAGCTGTAGTACTCGAAATGCACCAACAAATAGTAATGCGTGCCGGTCTTGTTTCAAAAAAAAAAATGGTGACAATTCGATATGATATTAAACGACATATATAAATTACTACATAAAAAACCAGCTGGCACAATGATTCCTGGAAGCACGGTTGTAAAATGTCACAAATGCTGACCTCCGACACGAACTTACTGCACAACGGTGTAAAACTTATAAATTCATACGGCTAGGAGTAATTTTAATGATGCTTGGAAAGACGATTGGTAGGTTAATGATCACTATATTTAAGTCTATAGCTGCACCCGCAGCTAAATTACCCAAGTAGTCAAGGAGTATCAGTTGTAACAGACCATTTTCTTCTGCAAGTGATGAATGAACATTCTGTACGCTACGTATTTCACGTCCTTTCCTCATCCACCTTCCAAATAAAGCTGTGGTCATTTATATGTAATACAAACACTAATTCATTGTCAGTTACACACAATAAACAATGTAGTCCAATAAACAGTGTAGTCCAGATTGCCTTACTATGTAGTGAACTACACGCAATCCATCAGACACGATGAATCCAAATGCAGTGATAAATTAAAATATATCAGAAAACTGATATTCGGAGAAATTCAAGGTCTCATTAACTGAATTTGGAAACGTAAATTTTTGATTCATTTGATAAGGAACTAACGTCCTGAAAACTAGTTAATATTGCTGTTCGTGCATGCTTTACGAATAACATGGATTGGTGATTTCAGACAGAAAATGATAAAATTCAACACTCTCCTCCCTAATTTCACATTCAACCTGATTCACTACCCAGTCATCTCCCACTTTAGACCCACTCGGCTTCCAACCTAGCTCCTACCTCTCCAGACCGGAAAAACGGAAATTTGAAAAAATTGCGGCGATGCGCTGAGTAACCAGAAGTGACTTTATGCAACGCTGATACGGGGCCTTAATGAAATAGCGATGTGGCTATTGTAGTTAATCGGTACAGTATCTTACAGAAACGGTTGGTCAAATAGAGTGATGTTGCAAGAAATAAGAGCAGGTGAGAGGCTTATCTCGTCCCTAATATAAGCATTCACAAAAGTGATGAAAAAACAAATTTGTTACCAATGAGAAATTATTGCAGAAACCCGCGCTAGTCGTTTCAAAAATTTTCTAAAGAACTATTACGGAAATTGATGATGTGAAAAGAAGAAAATCCTTCAGCTCATATCTATAAAGACCTTTTTTTTTAATATAAGTGGGGATTAGAATCATAGAAGAAATAGTCTCGTTTTAACATGCTTGATGTACAATGGCGCTTGAATGTTTTTACAGCATTGTATTAAAAAGCTGGAAAAGAAAGCTGTCTTTTGATATGGTAACTTCTCCAGAAATCGAAATTATTAAACATTGATGTCAAGAAAAACAGAGTGTCCAGCTTATCATTGGAGGAATGAATACGATATTTTTGCAAGAAAAAGCAAAGCCATGAAGTTTGGTAGGAGACGATCCTATATTTGCGTAGATCCAATTGTGCAGAGACTTTGGCAATGCGTCTTTTGCATGGAGATAAGTTATTAAATGTTAGTATCAAGCGAAGATTGATTGCCGAATTTCTGCACAGATATATTGTCCAGAGGGTAGATAACATATTCCAGCAGAAACTTCGGCAATACACTTTTTGGGTAGTTGATTCTTATCTTGTACGCTAATACTATTTGGATATATCATTAGGTATTACAAACAATGTCAAGCAATACAAATTTCAATTATTTAATAAATATATGTGGTGGAAGTGAAGCTAGAATAAATTAGCAGCCAAAAATAGTAGCTATTAACTGATGAATAGTTAACCTTTTTGTCATGTAGACATGAGCAGTTATATTGGTATGATGCAGTAGGGAAGTGAAGTTAATATAAGCATAAAGTAGCCATTCAAACTGGTTGCTATTGAAACATGACTTTTCTGACGCATGGATCTTAATATTGCGGATATAATATACAGACGAAATGGTATAATGGATATTGCAGCTGTTAACTAGGTATTGTCAATAAACTAAATTATTGGATTATGGATGTGATCAGTGATGTGTAAATTATTAGCGGAAGTGTCCGATGAAATGTACAATACATCGTGACAATTAATCGGTTTCTTTTTATCACTGTGATATATTTCACAGTGCGCTTTACGCTTTATTGTTCATATATTGATAAGAATGAAATAATTAATCCACAGTATAATCAGTAGTATAATTTCCTCGGTTAGATATGTATCAACACGGAGTGCGCACGTCTCATTATCAAGGAATTTCGAAGACGAGAATAAAGTATCACTGATGAAGGGATTTGGCGACGGTTGAAAATGATATTGTTGAAAAGCATCATCAACAAACTGTGATTGGACAAACGTTTGCCGAAGTGGGCGGTACGGGAGTGATTGAAGGATGGTGCACCAATAGACTAGTCTTGTCCGGACTGATGGCACTGAACGAGTTGCTTCTGCTTTTCCTTCCTATTGGGACCTACGCTTATATTTCCGAGTCATGGGCAATGCTCACTTCTGATCGACCCTCCTCACCAAAATGTGTGGACATACCCAGAAACTTGACGCTTTGTTACGGTATACAAGTAAGTAAGCATCAAAGAAAACCATACCCTTCTCATCCTTCCTTCACTTCCTTTCTTTCACGAATTTCGTTATTTCGGTTATTCGGAGCTAAACAGTCACCACTTTCAGTACAAGAGAAAAATCTTCATGACCGTTGCTTCTTCCTCAGCATCACCTTACTGCATTGTTGATAAGCTAGTTATTTTCAGTACTCAACAATGCGTTTGCCAAATTTGTTGGAGCATGAAACAGTGGATGAAGTAATAGAGCAAGCAGCCCCGTGGATACCGTTACATCGATTAAATTGTCATCCGGATACACAGGTCCTTATCCATTTAATCTATTTGGAATAGATTGCGACATACTAGGCAATTTGCTTCCCATTCAATATACATTGTTTTTAATTAACTGTGTTTCAGTTATTCCTATGTTCCCTGTTTGCACCAGTTTGTCTGGCAACAATGGACCGCGAAATACTACCCTGTCAGTCCTTATGTACTGCTGTCCAACAGGTCTAATTTGCCTTAACATTATTGAATTCGAAGATTTATAGGAAAAGAAGTGGAAATTGAAGCATCAAAATAAAATTTCAGGGATGCGAAAACAGAATGAGGCAATATGGTTTTCCTTGGCCAGAAATGCTATCCTGCAATAAATATCCGAAGGATAACGACATGTGCATTGGCGCTGTCTCGGGGAAAGCAACAAGTCTGTTTTCACTTCGTTACTTCTAGTGCGCGACATATACATTGCATGTCTTCAGCAGACCCGTCTATCACTTATTTCCAATGAGATTATGAAAGTGGGTAATGTATAATGAATAGTTGCCTTTGGGGATTTGTTAGAAACACTCAGACTTGGAATTAGGGGTTAGGATTGGGGCTGCTAGTGACAGGGTGGGCAGCAAAGGCAGGCGCAATATTACTAAAGGTGCCGCGTGTCGACGAGCTGTCAGGCGGCATTCTTTCATCGTTCACCGATTGATATCTCAGCTCGTCATATTTTCAGACCTTAGTGATACGTGTTCATCGTGCAGTCAGGTCAGCACATACGAGAATATACTCGATCATTATTGTCGATCTCAAATAGGTTTCCATTTCACATTCTTCTGCTTTTCGAAAAACTCTTCTTCAGTTTCATTTCATCCTCTTTGTAAGCCTCGATCTCACTTTGCTCCTTTTATATGATTACGCTCAATTTCTAAATGCAGTTTCATCCTGTTGCAGTATATATCCTAAAAAAGTGCTCAATTAATTGAAATATGCGCTTCTAACATAATGAAACTGGAGCACTCCAAGTTAAAAAGGGAGGATCAGAAATTTGGAGAACTTGGTTCGGAAATGCAGTGTATATTTACATCAAATAATATCAAAATTAGGGATTTTATTAACAGTACAACCCTATGATGTTTTAACTTTAATTGTTCCTTAACAATTTGAAAAAGGAAGATATTACAGTAGTGAAAGCACGAATCGGAGGCATCAATAAATCATACGTGAGCGTGCGAAAGGCACGATCGCTCAAGAGGTCTGATCGGCGCAGGTCCCTTTTTGTTTTCAGAAATAGTTTCTACAGTTTCTTCATTTGAAAGCGTTATCATTGTCTTTCTTGTCATCGATTCTATGATTACCAAGCATTTAAGCCCAAGTTACCTCTCCTTAGGTAAAGGGTGCAACCTACAGTAATTAATCGATGGAAATAGGAACATGTAGCCGCCTGTAATAAATTTAACTGTGCGCAGTCTTAGACAACATTAAAAAGGGAAACGAACTGTTCACACGTAAATCAAAAGGTTCAGTGGTTGAAAAAAAGGGTAATATAGAATCAAGAAAAATAATTGTAGCTGATTACCGGGATCAAAAAAGCGAAATTATGATAAAAGTGATTAGAGCACGCCACGAAACAAGTACAAGTCATTTGAAGGAGTAGGTGAACCGATTTTTTGATATTTTGGTGGAATTGATGCTACAGAATTACAATGTCAGATTTACTCAAAACCAGATTTGAAAATGGGTAAAAATGAATCGGGCAGACCATCCCGAATCCATTTTCAATCTATTTCATATCGAGACAAATGGACTTTTTTTTCGCAGTCTTATACAAGGGTGTAGTCTACAAGAAAAAATCCCGACACTTATTCAGCAAATCATTTTTCAGATCGGTAGGTCGAGATACGATCATTCATTTTTCTGCTAATCGCAGGTGCCCTTGTCATTTCAGTGGAACAGGAGACCTACGTTTCCTCATCATGGCGGATCAGAATGACAGAGGCGATTTTATTGCAAATCTGATACTGCCCTGGAGAAACACCGACAAGGTTAATATTTCCTTCGTGGATAAATTGAGTTAACAATAACAGAAAGACAGCACAGCTGACCATCTTAGCCATGAAGTGTTGTAATATACAGGTTATTCATGCTGTAGATTTTGAAAGGTATCTTGGAATCTTAATGTCGACAATGTAACATTCTGGAATAATTCAATCGCTCATTTTCAGTCCTTCAAGCGAGCCATTCGAAGCTTCCGTAAACTGAATTGCCAATCCCTAGGAAGGGAAATAAGAGAAAGTGCTTATCGCCGAAGCCTTCATCGTAAAGGCCATTGAACATTGTTGTGTTTTTTCTATAATCACAAATATATCGCAAAATCTCTTCCACCTTATACCTATGAGCCTTTTATTATCCACGAAACACCTGTGCAAAAATATTTTTTTTGTTCTACTCATTTCCTCGTGCATGTAGGTGTAAACAAAGTATTCTCATATCGCCGTTTTACCGCAAAATGAAAGGAGTAGTGCAGAGGGAATATGTCACAGTATGATACTGAAAAGTAAAGCAGAGTCCGCATGAACTCAACACAGTTCGCACTTCCTCATCTAGTAAACGCACTTGTTGCATGTGATCCATAAATTGTATTCGCATCTTCACTGTACAAATATATGTTCCCGTGAGTAATTTAATAGAAATATTTGATTTGATGTACAGCAACCTTTCGTCATGTGATATTTATTTGAAAGCCAGTCAAAACGTAGAAAATAGGGATAATTACATATGAAATTTCCAGCGAAGAGCATATCTCAAATCAGTTTTAATAACGGAGACCTTACTCAACAAACATCCTTTAAAATTATAATCGTGGTATAAAAGAACCCCGACACCTGTCCCATTTCAATTCCGGAAGTGTGAAATTCTACTGCGAAAGAGAATGCGTTAGATAAGGTAGAAAATACCTGGGTACACATATGTGATATGTTGGAACACTCAATAATACATCAGTGGCAAGAATTTCCAATGGCTTCAAAAGCGCATCTGACATGATACTTCTATCAAAAATTCAATCGAAAAGGGGGAAAACATAAATATAAAGCAATGAACTCGGCAAAGTATGCATATTTATTTATTCAATTCTGGCGGTTAAAGTTGTTCTACGTTAATGATGTGCTATGGTAGGACAGATGCTCATGAAGTTTATGTTGTTACGGAAGAGAAGCTCTTTTGTCAAGGGATATGTTTTTTGGAAAGAGCGAAGATGCTTCTCTGATTGGATCATCTCAGCACAATACAATGGAAGCGTAATCGGTATATGGTTGGGAAAAAAGGAAAACTTCGTACAGTCAATAATTTCAAGGAAAAAAGCTACCAAACTGACAAAATGACAACTGAGCATTTGCAATTTTCTGTATCATCCTGAATCTCACATAGGTCTCAAGTTCTGAAAAACAGGAGAACAGATAAAGGAATTTCCGATTTCCCCAGTCCATACCAATAGCGATGAAATGGAATGTCTATGAAGAAGAAGGAACTTATTCAAAAAACGCTCGTTAACCCTTTTACCAGTTCCAATTTTGGTTTTAAGCCTGCAACAATGTGGCCGATTAGTATTTCGCGGTTGGTTGATGCATACGAAAGATGAAATGATCATGATAGCTTCGTGTGCATTTTTTCGTCCTTTTTCAGGGAGCTTCAGATTACTTGACAGCACTTGTCTTTTTGTTATTGCTCGCTAATACATTCTGGAAAATTTGTTATGGCAACAGTAGGGAGATTTTGCTGGTGAAGTCCCGATAAGGGCAAGAGAAGGATAAATGAGATGTGACGCAATTTGTCTGGTACAGTTTGGAAACTCTTACTACGTTGTGGCTCAGGCGGACAAGTACAGCACTGTTAATGAATTTCAGGACATCACTATGTCATCGAATGATGAGGGCACAGTCAGAAAACACACTAGTTCACCGTCGGACTACAACAGTACGAAGGACTTCACAATATCAATTTCATCAGTAACGGGACACAAATGGGAACAGAGTGTAACATTACGCGAAACTGTTGATAGTTTAAAGGTACTGGTCCTTCTGCATATTTTAAAACTACCATAGTTTGAACCAGCACTTTTATGTGAATTGAAGCCAATTTGAGATTTTGCAATTTTGAAGTTACCAAGCTATAGCTAGAATAAAGTCATGACTACTCCCTACCTCATGCAATTTTCCCCAACATTTTATTTGTCATATGAAGCATGATAACAGACATTTTGCTCGCAGTTTATTAGCCTCTTATGTATAATTCCATCACTACTTCCATCTCCAGAATCGTTGTACGTTATCCACTGCATTATGTAACACGTCAAAATTGATACTGGTAAAGCTTTGTCGCTTTCACATGCATTTTCCATATAACTGTTAATAACTATATGAGCCTTGAGTTTGCGGATTCTAGGTAAAAATTTGGCATCGCACAGGGCTCTTCCCGTATCATCAAGGTCTAATTTTCGATGATTTATCGTTATCGGAATTGTGTGGGCAGACACTACTTTACGAGCTTGGCATCCGAAATAAGTCACTCGTGCGTCTAGTAGTTATCACACGATCGGGACCTCTGGCATTAGCACTTCCTGAAAAAATCGCAGTAGTTCCATGTTCTGTACAAACTGAACAGTTGGTTTTTTCCGTTTCTTATTGTTTTTCATATTACACTTGCAACAGTTACATGACTTAGTATTAGAGTTTGAGCTTAAACATCTCAAAAGCCTTTTTTGTATGATCTATATGTTGCCAGCAGTGTGTTTAAGTATTTCCGAAGATTCGAATTTCTAGGATCCTTATGATTGCAGGAATAAAGGGGATTGTTGGGAAGGATTGCGTTTCTTTGATGAACAGAATTTAGATGAAAATCGTCGAACCCTATTCCGAATGTGTGAGCTTCGACGGCAGATGAAACAGAATGCTTCAGCGAAACCGATTGTAAGTGCTAGCATAGGTTTCACACCACCATACAGTAAAGTGGACAATTGGTAATGTAAATGTGGTTGTCACATAGGTGAGAGTCTCGTGAAGTATACATCCAATAAGCAACTTATTGGTTGATAACAAAGGCCAAGAAACACTCGTTTCAACATTTAGCGGTATGCTTTAGCGGTATTTTTCATCTCTTGCAATTTTCTTACTTTTTTTTTTCAAGTGCTGTGAACGGTGCTGTCGTCAATTAACATTTTCCAAAGATTGAAACTGCTTCCGTTCATTCAAATAAATTTGTTCTCCCCACTAATGGAATCTCTAAATTGTGATCTCAGTCTCTGGGGTGTTCATTTTTGGATATAAATGTGAATTAGTAAGACGAATAATTTTCTACAGATTCCTAAAGTGTCAACTCGCTGAATTAATTTATACTTTGTTTTTCTGTTTTTACCTTTTACTGGCATCTATTGAATAAATAATAACAAAGTGCTAGTGCTGCTTAGATTTGCAAATCAAATTTTAGGAGAGGCAAGTATTTTCGGCTCCAGAAGATACGAGTGCTAAAGAAAGTTCTGCTGGTGATACGGAATGTGATGACGATAAAAGCTGTTCTTGCAGCGGTATCAGCTCTTCCAAGGTTTTCTTTTTTTTTTTTTTAAAAAAAGCGTTCGCTTATTGGTGATTGAAATATAATTAACCAATTATCTCTAGTGAAAAGAATTTTGCAGTGTACGCGTTAACATGTAAATTATTTTAGGTTTCCGAAGCTGTAACATTGTCTGGGACAAAACATGGTGATAGAAGGATTCGTCCGAACCCTAGCAAAGGTTCTGTTTTCAAAGTTTTAAAGGATCCAAAGTAGTCGGCTTGTTCTTCAGACTTCTTTCCTTTAGAAGAGGCACCAAGTCTTTGCCATAGCGAATCAGTAAATAGTTCTATTCGTGACCGACTGCTTCTGATGATGCAACCGCGTGCCGTTTCGCCTTCAACAGACTTGAATACTCATTCTGAGGATGGCTCCGAGTTTTCCTCTGGAATGGTGGTTTGTGATCTCAGCAATGAATTCAGAAGGTACCTTTGATACTGTATTGTCTATTCATTCCTCGCTCATCTTAATGCGTAAGAAATTCAGATTGACTGATGTTACCCTATTCTTGCTTTCTACTAGCGTCCCTCTCTCCTTCCATTTCAGTACAAAGCCGTGATCATCAGCAGTTCCATTCAGAAGAATCTAATTCTTCAACCAGCCGTTTCTAGATTACGTGTACGCCGTAAACATCATGGAATGGGTAACGGATCAGCAACTATTCAAAGAACTCGAGCCAGAAGCAAATCAAGAATACCGCTTGGAGCTCTGTCTCATCACCACAGAGTATGGTATTCCTTATTACCTCCCGGTTATCTCATTAATATCATCTTACTTTTGTTTATATAAGGCTGAACTTGCAATTATTTTCAGCGAGCTAGATTTTTATGTATCAAAGAACAAGTATTTTTTAATCTCAAATCTCCGATTCTTGAGATACGTTTCAGGAAACTTCCCTTCATTAAGTAGTACATGTTAATAGTTATAGATTGCTTTTATAAGAATAAGTTTGTCTATGTTTTCAATTAAACAGATCTGTTGCTGGGCTGCTAACGAATAAATGCGCTGTTTATATTGGTGCTCTTATCTTTTTGGTGAAAAGTGTCAGTTGCAACACTTCAGCGCTGGTTAATGCAAGTTCCAAACAATCTTAACTAAGAAAAAATATTACTTGAAGGGCTCAGATGTGACTTCGAGCGATGATGAACTTCCACGTCGACGTATAACCGAAGCGAACTTTTCATGTTCTGCATTTCGTCGTCCTTCAGCTATTTCACGAGCACAGAAAGTTCTTATTGGGTACCAGTCACAACAACGTTGCAGTGTATGTGCTGTCAAATTGAGCAGCTTTTCAGTTGCGTTTCAGTGCAGGTAAGCAATATTTCAGGGAACACTTTGCTTCTGTTAATTCTTCATTTGTCGTTTCTACTTTTTTCTTTCAGATGTGGGAAAACTCTGTGCGCTCGACATCGATCTGCTGGAATGCACACATGCACTCGTGTTCGTAAACTGCAAGATGTCAGCGACTAAGAGCATTAAGTTTGGGTTGCATAAAAATGTACACATGTTATTTTCAATAATTCCAGTCTCGGAATCATCTGAAAGAAAAAGGAATTTCATCATCAATCAAATCATTTCAATTTAAGGGGTCACTGCACTCCGTCCATTTCATTACACACTAACGGAGTGCATAGATTAACAGCGTTGTTCCTTATTAGCAGATCTGTTCTCTATGTTCTGTCTTTCTGAAATTAGATTAATCAGCATGCTTTCAAGTTATCAGCTGAGAGTAACAGTCAGTATACGCTGCAATTATTTCTCGTTATTCCACTGTATTTTCATCAGTATTTTCAAGAGTGACGGAGAGAGTAAAAGATACCACTGTTTTTCAACATGTGTGGAAGCGTCATTAATCTAGTTTACTGACGATAAATTGAGTTGCTTAAACAATTTCCAGGTATCTATGATATCTCTTCAGCCACTCTATATCTTCAATTTATGGGGAAGCATGCGATGTCGCTTACAGTGTTGATAATGACCTTTGAAGCATATCAGCGCATATTGATTTGCCCATGTTATTTTGGAAGCACGAACGTTCGAATTGGGAAGAAAACTACTTGTTTTCAGGTTATTTTGGTAACAGAAAACTCTAATAGACTGTAGCTGTTATTTCTGGTCGAATAAAATCTCGACGGTGCTCAGAAAGCTATATCCGTCTTTGTTATCTGGGCACTGTCATTCATGTGGGGTGATATCTTGCGCGGCCTGACGTTCTGTGCAATTACACAGCTTTTATATGTCTTTCTTGCACAAGTAAAGTTCGTGGAAGTGTTTTAAGTGCAAAATCTCGAGCATCGGATTATAGTGCCGCTGTCAAGTCTAGTATAATTTCCTGCATTATCGTAACGGTAGCAGCTTTTGGCAGGAAATGTTTAGAGCATCTTTGCAGTGGCGTAGCTAGACCAAGATGAAAAATACAGTACATTTTCTGATTCCTTTGAGATCCCCAAATTGAGCAAGACGTAGAACAGTTTACTATTGTTTTCGCATGATTAGGTTTGCTACGTTTGCTACACTCTTGCAGTTATGATGGTGCTGTGAGGTTATGCAGAAGTGGATTAAGGTATCAGTAACGGTCAATGTTGTTTTTTTGTCTAGATAGAACGTCTTAAGTAGAATCGGACGGGTATTTCTCTTGTATTTTAAAGGTTTTTTTTTAAAGCTTCGAATTTTTTTAAATTTTAAAGCTTATAAGCTACTTTTGGGCTAATAATGCCTATATAGAAGGAACTATTTAAACGAGATTATTAAAGTCAGTTCTGGACTGTTTTTGTAAAGAGCTTTTTATGAGTCAAAACTTGACGACTCGAAGAAAATCGTCTAGTTTTCAAAGCGAAATTTCCGCATATGCTACCGACATCTCAAGAATAATGTCAGAGTGGTCATTTGTCGAAATATAGGAGACGAAATTCGACTCAGCCCTTAGGCCATCATTGAGAAAGAAGCAGAGAGTGAATAACATCTACACATGTGCTCTCAGTGCGTTATCAACTAACTGATCGATTAGCTTTTTTCGATAGTAAGGAAGGTAACGGCATGTAAGGCATTCTTTCAGAGTAAGCAAACAGGTTCGCTCATGAAGTGACTAGGTCACCAAGTAGTCATGTAAGGACTAAGCTGATGGTAGAGTTAAGTGCAATTATTTTGCGGTTAAAGCACGCTGCTGGAAACAGTAGTGTTCGGGTGGACGGGCTCCTCCTTTAAAAATGTTTTGATTCGTGGGAGAACTTTATCGCTTGAAAGTGATTTTTCCAGGTTTGTGAGCGAAGTTATGAACAAAAAATATATTTGGATTTGGATGGCAGTAGTTAATCTTAATTTTTTCTTTTTCCATATAAGTGAAAACGTATGAAAACAAATTCATTTTATGTACTCAAAAGTGTCTTTTACCCTGCCCACTGCTTACAATAAGTGATGTTAGATTTTACCGTATTTTCGTAGACACGGAAATTCTAGGACGACGACGAATCAATTCTACAAATGGCTGGTCTGTAGACTGAAGAGTTAACTATCCTTTTACTGCTGTAACATTCTAATGAAGATATATTCACCACAAGAGACTAATAAAAATTCACATCGGGCGAAGAGGAACGCCATTATAGACAGGCCTATTTTGTTAATTCGAGGGCCAAAGAGCTGAGCGCTGAGAGTGCGGCAAACTTGACGGCAAAACGAGTGCCTCACAGCATCACTATAAAAAAAGGTTGATTGATGTTGCATCTTAGACTCAATTCTTCAGTGAAATGGAAAGGATGAAAGTTACATACAAAAGCAGTCAACTGACTGAATACCTCCTCCTCAGAGTCGTAAAAGACAAACAGGAACTCATTTTCCGTATTCAAACGAGCATTGAATTTGTTTACTACATAAGGCGGTTTTTTCCGTTCTGGATAGTGGTCTGTCTCTTATTACTTCCCATGTCTGCTCTTTAATGGAATAGAAGGCTCGATGAGTCTAAGTTTACCGCAATTACTAGGAGGCGATTCATTACCGTAGGAAGTGTAGACGATAATTAGCACCCTTTGCAGTTTGAGCCACGGTTATGTTTGTTCCACTATCTCTTCAAATGGGAAATGTGCTTTTTCTTTCGTGATCGTTCTGAAGGATCACACTGAAATGGTTTCTCCAAGTATAATTACAAGCAGGCCAGTAAAGTGATGCTTCTCGCCGTGGGGAACACTTTCCTCATCGATGCCTCCGACTAAAGTTCTCATCCATACATACTTGAAATCCAAATCAATTTGGTTAAAAGAGTCAGACCGATGATGGAAAGACAGGCCTCCATCCATAATTCTACCGAATCGATTCAGCCTCACCACAACAGCACTCACCCTCCCCCTCGTCCCCTCCTCCCACCCCTCCCCTCCACCACTGCACTCCTAAGCGAGCGAGCAAGCAGAAAGAGACATACTGCTTTTCTGTCGGTCGTCGCACCTCCTATCTTCCGTACTCTCTGGTCGTGCGGTGGAGCGATATTATTGTTGGATCAGGATGGGTATTGCGGATGGTGCTGGATGTGGCAGTCGGCGTTGCTTGTTGTTCTCGCATTGGGTCTCGTGCAAGACTGCTCCTAACATTGCTTGATTTCTCTCTCCGTCTTTTTCTATGAACACAGTTTGTCCAACTTGGCTTATCTCGAAGTTTGAAAGGCTAAGGCCATGTGATGTGGTTCTCTTATTTTTCTTTGCCTATTCCATGGTCAAAATTAGCTGGTTTACCTATGGTAGTGCTTCTTTTTAAAATTATGCTCTTTTTTTGTTATCAGAATGGTTATTGGGTTCCTGTTCACTTCCACTCATTTTCCTAGATTTCTGCTTTTTTATTCATCCATTTTCACTTTTAAGTGTCCTCCGTTTCCTTTTTCCTCATTTACATCACCGTAACCTTTTCCCGGTTGGTTATCTTGTATTGACGACAAGAGATTAGCAGTGGGTTGCGAACTTATCCAATGATTAGCAATGTTTCTCTTAAATGGTTGGTACTTGTTAGCGAAACGTTCTGCGCATGGACAGATCACTGGACCCATCATCGATAAAAAGTTGGGTTATCCGAACTTTTGGTTGTTTCCTATTTAATACTTCTATCTCTGCAAAGAGCTTTCTAAGGCTTGAATACAAACGTTCCATTAATGTCTCTATGTAGGTCAATTTTATGAGGGAAGATTAAAATGAGTTAGGGAAAAGTCGTCTTGGGTGGACCGTGTGATGGTTCTTTTCCTGGAACGCTTTACGTGGTTTATGCTTAGCCATTGCTTGGCTCGGCATAACAGTGGTCATGTCGCCCAAACATGAAACATTCCATTATTGAGAGTGAATCTAGAAACATATTGCCAGGTCGATGGATCTAGAAGCTACGCAATCCTTTACTTCTGCATTGTTATTTCCCATTTTGTTTAGCCCATTTTCCTCTTTTTGCTGTTATCAAAAGGACATGAGGTTATTGAATCCCGTTACAAACCTAAATTCACGCTCATTGATGTGATCTTACAGGTGATCTCAATAGTATCGTTTCATGAGCTCTCCACTTATATTATTACACTCTTCCCTTCACTTTTCTATCTTGATTTCAAATGAATAAAAATTAAGGACATGAGGGTAGTAGAAATAGATACTTTCTGGCGTGAAGGGAAGGGTGTAATGAGATCATTACCATGACAAACCTTGTTTTTTTCAATTCACTAATCCTTACATATGCGTAAGTCAAGAGCGAAAAAAATTTGTGTGCTTTCCTGTGAAGGTTAAAGAGAGTATTTGATGGTTGTTTCTATGCCGAGTTACATATCCGGTGAGCAGTCACGGGAATATTGAGCGAAGTATTCAACAGTGAGTTGTCATGATGGCTAACATTTGCCACTTATAATTTCATCCTTACACTACTCCTTCACTTATTATGTCGCTGTTCCCATTTTACCCCTTTAATTGTCATAGTGATAGTGACCGTTGTGAAATATTATCAATTAACAATAAGGTACGGCTAAATGAGTGCAACGTTGGTGAAGTTGGGACGATCTTATGGATTGTGGAGTTGCTGGACGCGATTACATCTTTATTTCTTCCATATAAGGTTGTTAGAAGGTATCCACGGTATATGGGTTTATTAGAATAATGAGAATAAATGGAATGGATAGAAAAGACAGGGAAGATGCAGCTTGAAATTGCTTCCCAGGTGTAGTTTGAAGAGTGTTGTTTAAATGCTGCATACAAAGTGACTTAGCACTCTGCCACATGTCATTATAAAAGTGTGTCTTGTTAACATCGTGTTTTGTCACTCCTCTCTTTTACTGTCGGTGCGGAATTATTAATCTCTTTCGTTAGATAAAGAAAAGAATGTGTCCCGTTCAGAGCGCAAGCAGATGGGTACAGAATATCATTATACGTAAGAACTGTGTTCAGTAATTCAGTTTGTATCGCCTCTACCGGTGTACTTGAGACATATACTCTTAAAATTTCCCTATGTGAGGGATTAATTTAGAAGTCCGTCTGCGAATTGCTGAATAAAACAATACTGTTGCAGCTGCCAAAAATAAATTTTGTGTACGATTCATTTCATTCACTTTACGTACGATATGGCTTGATGCTATTAGAGTTACGGGGGAGAGATTACGAATATATTTTAGGCAGTACTCGTAGAACACGAACTAACGAAATTCCGTCTCTTATATCATCAATCTTATATTTTGTAACAACGATTGAACATAACACCAACTGACAAAAGTAGATAATTGTCGTTTCATCAAGTACTTCTATCTTACTTAGCCTTTCACATGTTTTGCCGAAAGTGTCACAGTTCTTATATGACATGAGAGTGACCTAGAGGTGACTGGATTGTACTTTTATTCACTGTCGAACAAAAGCTTTATTTACCAAACAATAACGGAAAGATTTGTATATTGTATATAAGGTTTACAATGATTATGTCCAATTATGTGAGGGGATCGATGCAAACACCCTCAAGTTCGGTGTCGTTTTTCTTCCGTTATTCTAGCATTATTTCACTTATGTCATCAGAACTGTTGACACATGATAGCATTACTGCATTGTGAAGATATTGGTGGGCTTATAATTGGTAATTACCATAGCTAGACGTGGAAGTATGTTATATTTGGTTGTATGATTAAAGTAATATAACTAAATCTGTCTTGAAAAATGGTATTGCAATAACAAGAGGCTACCGTAACCAATTTTACTCGATTTTGATTCATATCTCAAGCGGTGACTGATTTTTACTGTTGGCCAAATTTTGCAACGGATTTCTCCTGTAGAATAGGGTAAGATTTTCAGTTGGATCTCTTTGTTGATTCGTCTTCCTTAAATGTTCTTATTGAAAGTTTTTATATTACTGAAAGAAATGTCTCACATACGGAAGCCGATGTAGTATATCATGTCCAAAAGTTTTTTCTTGATAGTTACTAATTCCCTTTGATAAGATATCGTTTAAAGTCGCTGTTCATCTTCAGTTTGATTTATACGTCTGTGACTGACTTGTCACTCTTGCATTCTGTTCCTGTCCAGTTGCTGCTGGTAGATGATTCAGCATCCGGTACGGGTTGCTTACCCTGTCAATTGATTGTTTCACCATTTTCTCCTAATGTTATCTGTTAGCCGATGTGGGATGGTTTTCCATTATTCCATTGTATAACGCTAATACGAGATGTACTGCACTGCTAGTAGTCTCATTCCTGCTGTTTTCTTAACTGGCATGATATTCTCATATTATAATCAATCTACTTAAAATGTCTTTGATATGTAAATTGATTGTTTACAGTGGCCACCAACCTTTCCAATGTTTAGTAACAAGTACAGGTGGTTATCTGTAATCACTTATTGTCCATTTATTTCTGTACTGCAAGTACATGTTTGTTCATGTTTTAAAGAAACGTGACGAAAAATGTGAATGTGCTAAAGTTTTACAGGCGGGTGACTAATACAATTCAATTATTGATGATCAATCCCGTAGTCGAGGCAGGTGGCTGTCCCGCAGAACCACAAGAATCACAGCAGCAACAAGTTCCTTCTGATAATAGTCAACATTCCAACAAAGTATTGCTTTATGCTTGTACAACTAAAGTGGAACTATAGTTTTTTTCTGGGAAGTTTACGCGACTTGACACAAGAGTTGCAGAATTTTCTTTATTTCCACCTTAAACATGGATAATTTAGCCTTAGATGAAAGAAACAATATTAATGTCGCATAACCACTCAGAATGAAAACGCAAAATTAACGCAAAGGTAAGCTCCAAAACGTCGCCCCAAGATAAATCCAAAGACTCAATCCAGAGAATAAAAGAAAGGAAGAATGTTAATTCTGCTGTGTGATCCTTCAAAGATTGGTTTTACGATTACAAGGATTAGCACCTTTGTTAACACACGTTGCAAAACAATTAGCATACACAATTCTGTGTACAGCGATGGCATCCTACGTTTACAGAAAAAAATTTGATTGGTTTTCAAATCTTAATCGTGATTTAACTTGGTAAATGCAAATTAGCACATCATAGCAGTCACTTATGAACCTTTACATATATTTTCTTTTTAATCACGGAAATTCGCGTGTATTCGCGACAACACCTTCAGAGAGAACTCTAGATGTTATGCACCTCTGCTATGAAGCGGGACTTAAGAGATTTTGCAGGGTGAGAGCAGTGCAAGTTTTTTACGAGCAGCGCGAGCTGGGAATTTAGATCGTGTACTTGAGCTACTGCGTTCGGGTACTGATATCAATACATGCAATGCGAATGGACTGAATGCGTTACATCTGGCTTCTAAAGAAGGTCATCATGAAGTAGTCCGCGAACTTCTGAAACGGAAAGCAGATGTCGATGCTGCTACAAAGGTTGTACATATTTACACATATATATATGTGTTTTCCTTCCGTTATTAGTAGTGTTTTCCTATTATTGTTTTTGCTATAGGATATATTTAGCCTTGTCGTAATCCATAATGTTTTCAGAAGGGTAACACGGCGTTACATATAGCGTCATTAGCAGGGCAGGAACTTATCGTCACAATACTTGTTGAAAACGGCGCAAATGTTAACGTACAATCACTGAACGGTTTCACACCACTCTACATGGCTGCACAGGAGAATCACGAATCTGTTGTACGCTATCTTCTTGCGCACAATGCTAATCAAGCTTTAGCTACAGAGGTTTTTTTTTTTCTCTTGACAGTTTGCTCTCTTCTTTGTTGTCCTTTTTTTCTAAATCATGAAAGAAACGGAATATTATATTACATTTGTGCAGCCAGTTGCAAATGCCTCTGCATAGGCAAAGTTTTTTCTTCCGAAACATAAGGTAGTTGGTGCATGATACGGAGGCAGGGAAAAAACCATTACTTGGCTATCGCCGGCAGATGGTGAACTCATATAAGTTTATCCTTATGCCCTCAATTTTTTGTTGTTTAAATACTAAAGTAAAGGTGGTAAATCTATTTGTCATAGGCTAGTTTTTTGAGTTTGCGTATGCACATGAATTTTATGAGTACTTCAAACTAATTCAGGGCTGTTTTAAGCTTCACTCTAACTCATCATATAAAACAGTTCTTTTTGACGTTGTAATTCAATGTGTTTGAATATAGTGAATATTTTTCCGAAGCTTCGGCATTGATTAGAGTACTCCGTCGAATAACGACCGTCAGGAAACTTGAAATCCAAATAAATTAGTAGACCGGAAACTCATGAATGCCTTGTATTTGCTTTTTTTTAACATCTCCCACCTCTTGCCATTGTACACATGGTAAATTTAGATCAAGGGAAAGAAATAATGCTTAAGATCACCTGTTGCTTTGTTTTGGAATGAAGGGAAATGTATTTCAATCAGTATGTGATACTTCAAGGATGTTTGGTCACATTTCTTTAATTACCTGTAAATATGGAACGTTAGAATAAATCATCAGGAAAATTGCATCTCTCGTTTTTCGCTTTCCATAGATAAATTTCTGAATGAATAAGTCTTTTTTTTTAATAGTTTTTTTACGTTTTTGTCTCTACAGAGGGAAATTTCACATATCTATCCTTCTAATCTTCATTTTAAAATTTGTGATATAATGCTCCTTTTCTATAATTAGACGTGGTTAGATTTTATTTTTCTTAAAAGGTGGCTTCCATTTAACAGCTTATTAATACCACTATAAGTTTTAGAAAATGAGAATGTTTCATATTTAGCGGTGTGTATGATGTGAAAAAATCAGATTTCATTTTTTTGCTTATCCACTCTTCGCTTTCAAACGTCATTTTTGTCGTCACACTGTGACCCACTCTTTCTTGTTCCCTATATTACTGGAATTGATGTCTTCTACGGCATCATATTTAAGCTTCCTATTTACAGGATGGCTTTACACCACTGGCGGTTGCCTTGCAGCAAGGTCACGATCGCGTTGTAGCTCTTTTACTTGAGAATGATACACGCGGAAAAGTGCGCTTACCGGCATTACATATCGCCGCTAAAAAGGATGATACGAAAGCAGCTACGTTATTACTGCAAGTTAGTGTCATTTTCTAAAAAAAGAAAGTCTTTCAGATAATGATTATTATTCGTTCTAAGCAAGTGAATATTTAGATGAAATCTCTTTCACAGATCTTTGTCTGAGAGATGAGAGTTACTTCTGTCATATTTCATTCATAAAAAAATCAAGATGCATAGTAAAGTGATGATTCTTTGTTTGCTAATGGTAAATGAAGAATATTAACTATAAGTATGTGCGTTTATGGAGGATGTTTTATATCGTTACTGGAAGGGATAATGCGAACGGAAGGGATATTCGGGATGTGTTATAATTGTTTCATGGAGGCTTAAAGAAATTGATTTTAGAATGAGCACAATTCGGATGTGACTTCGAAAAGTGGTTTCACTCCGCTCCATATCGCCGCTCACTATGGAAATGAGAACGTAGCGCAATTACTGCTCGAAAAAGGAGCAAATGTAAATTACCAAGCGAGACATAACATAAGGTGTGTAGCTGCTGAAACATTCTAAAAATAATTGGCGTAAAAGTTGTGGTGAATGCGAATGTACCGAGACCAGAAATTGGTTTGTAAATGGGTAATGATGTGAGGGCTGATTGCCTCAGTTCCTTTAGAATTCCAACAAGGAAGTGTGGAGTACTGATTAAATATGGAATAACTTTTCAATATTGTGCCTAAGATGAGTCAGCTGTTTTCAGTAATATCTAGTTACAAAAAGAAAAATCATTTGGTTTACTTTTTCTTCAGTCCCTTGCACGTCGCAACAAAATGGGGACGCGCGAACATGGTTTCGTTGTTGTTAGCTCATGGGGCTGTAATTGACTGTCGTACGCGCGACTTATTAACACCATTACACTGTGCTTCTCGTTCGGGCCATGATCAAGTTGTTGACTTATTGCTTGAAAAAGGAGCTCCAATAAATGCTAAAACAAAAGTAAGCACTGTTTTGATGCGCTTTCAGCATACTCTTTTCGTTGTTGGTTTTCTGACACTTTTTAGCAAATATCATCAGGATAATTGATACAAACATTACAGAATGGTTTGGCTCCCTTACATATGGCAGCACAGGGTGACCATGTAGACAGTGCTCGAATTCTGCTATATCATCGAGCTCCGGTTGATGATGTTACCGTTGATTATCTTACTCCTCTTCATGTGGCTGCTCACTGTGGACATGTTCGTGTCGCTAAACTTCTGCTGGATCGTAATGCCGATTCAAATGCTCGTGCCCTCAATGGGTTCACACCGCTGCATATCGCTTGCAAAAAAAATCGCATTAAGGTATTGCTTTTTTCCAATAGGTTAGTGTTGAGCATTAATCTGTGTTCATTTATTTACCAATTATAACTGTTTAGGTTGTCGAGCTATTGCTGAAATACCATGCTGCCATTGAGGCAACTACAGAGTCCGGTCTCTCACCGCTGCATGTCGCTGCTTTCATGGGTGCCATAAATATCGTCATCTACTTACTGCAACAAGTGATGATCGTTTTTTTTTTTTTAGTTTAAACTTTTGTGCATTTTTTGGTATTCGTGTTGTAGACTTTCCTACAGTTGAGAGCTTAGAGCTGAGATATTTTCCCTTTCATTTTTCATTTAATTTTCATTTCTACATTTCCTTTGTTTCACTTGCCAAAATTTATCCGTAAAAGTAAATGAGTGTGGTTTTTTTTCAATGTTTTTCATGTTTAATCTGCTCTTACAAGGTCTGTTTTACAATAATCAGTGCGGAAAGATAACACAGTCTAATCAAGGTTATGAAATTATGCAAAAGTTTCTTTAAGAAAGATGAGGCATCAATAACCATTTTCCATTTCAGGGTGCTAATGCGGATGTGGCTACAGTTCGTGGTGAAACACCTCTTCATTTAGCCGCACGAGCAAACCAAACTGATATTGTTCGTGTTTTGGTGCGTAATGGAGCCCGGGTTAGTTGACGTCCTTTACTTAAACACTGTCGTTTTGATAACTATTTATTGCAGGATCCAGCGTTTCTCATTGTATCACAGAACATTCTTCAGTTTCAAGTTTCCTAAAAAAGCTCGTATACGTTCTTCATGCCCTATATGATCATAAAAATATCGAAGTGCCTGTGTCACAATCAATTATAATGAAATTTTCCTGTTTTGATATTTTAAAGGTGGATGCTGCGGCACGTGAGTTACAAACTCCGTTACACATTGCATCACGTCTTGGTAATACTGACATCGTCGTTTTGTTGCTGCAGGCTGGCGCATCACCAAATGCTGCTACACGGGATCTCTACACTCCTCTTCATATTGCCGCCAAAGTAAGTTTATGGAGAATGGAAGTATTTGCTCTTTAACCTAGAGTCAGTGGATTACTTAGTTTTCAAATTTTATAGGAGGGGCAAGAAGAGGTGGCGGCAATACTGATAGATCATGGAACCGACAAGACACTGCTCACTAAAAAGGGTTTCACGCCGCTGCATTTAGCTGCTAAATACGGCAATTTGCCGGTAGCGAAATTATTGCTGGAGAGAGGAACATCTGTTGATATTGAAGGCAAAAACCAGGTAGCTTGAGTGATTGTTGATGTATTCCTGAAATATCACTGCGCTTCGATTTTACATTATATTATCATTAGATGTACTGCTGAAATGCCACCCATAAAGCAACTTGTCTTTTAAATCTCACCGAAGAATTTCAACATGGCAGATACTATTTATAATATATTGCTAAATTATATTTATCCGTGCCATTATAGCATTATAGAGTCAGTAACACTCGTATTTAAAGTATTATTTATTTGTAGTTCTTGTTCCTGTTTTTCACTTGCAAATGTATGCGGTGTGCTCAAGAACCATTGGTATGCAAATAATTTTTAAATATCAATGACCATTTTAGGTGACACCTCTGCATGTAGCGGCACATTATAACAACGACAAGGTAGCGTTGCTACTTCTAGAAAATGGTGCTTCCGCACATGCTGCTGCGAAGAATGGATATACTCCTTTACATATTGCCGCGAAGAAGAATCAGATGGACATTGCTAGCACTCTTCTTCATTATAGGGTGCCGCTTTACCGTGTACTTATTTTACGTTTTAAAAATATCCAATTGAATTTAAAAATCTGTGATTTTCTTCTATTTTTTTTGCGGATCTGTGATTTTCTTGTGTTTTATTTAAATGGTAGACCCTCATATTTTTGGGTGAGGTTAAATTTTATTTGTGCAAAAGTACGTCAGTGTTATCATTTTCCTTTAAGGCAAATGCGAATGCTGAAAGCAAAGCTGGCTTCACACCACTTCATCTTGCTGCCCAAGAGGGCCATCGCGAAATGGCTGCTTTACTAATCGAAAATGGAGCGAAGGTGAGCTATGGAAAATTTTAAAAAATGAGGGAAATAAGTTTTGTAGTTGAAATGTATTGTATTCATATTATTTTACTGATTTCACCTTAGCATAAAGAGGAACTGCTAGTAGCTCAATGAAATGTAGTTGCTGTTGTTGTTTATATTTCAGGTCGGAGCTCAGGCAAGGAACGGTTTGACGCCAATGCATCTCTGTGCACAGGAGGATCGTGTTAGTGTAGCAGAAGAACTGGTGAAAGAAAATGCTACTGTTGATCCCAAAACGAAAGCAGGATATACGCCATTACATGTTGCTTGCCATTTCGGTTCGATTTCTTTAACAGATTTCTGTTCATATGCATTATACGAACTGTAATACTGTGAACTTTGCAGGACAAATAAACATGGTCCGTTTCTTGATTGAGCATAGCGCTCCGGTTTCAGCCACTACTCGTGCTTTCTATACTCCACTACATCAAGCTGCTCAGCAAGGACATAATAATGTTGTGCGTTACTTGTTGGAGCATGGTGCTAGTCCAAATGTCCACACATCGGTAATAATTAATTAAGTTGCTGAGTAAAAGTAACATGTCATTTTAACAAGCTTATGTGGGAAGACCCTTGAGTGTAGAAAGACGTTGAGGTTGGCATTTAAGAGAATGCGAGTGTTGCGGTAAAGAGCTTTATAAGTAAAGGGAAAGTATATCTTTAAGGCGGCTGAAAGTTGCGTTTTGGTGATCCGACGTTTTTGTTTTACAGACAGGACAAACTCCATTATCGATTGCTGAACGTTTGGGCTATGTGTCCGTGGTTGAAGCGCTAAAAACAGTTACGGAAACTACCGTGATTACGGAGACCACAACTGTTACTGAAGAAAGGTATAAACCTCAGAATCCTGAAGCAATGAATGAAACCATGTTTTCTGATTCAGAAGATGAAGGTATCTATATTCTTTAATCGAGTCGAGTGCATGATGAGTTATTTGCTGATCACATTGTTTTTATCGTTGTCTCTGGAGAAAACAATGCATTAAACGAAATTCGGTTTCGTTTATCTAATGTTAGACTGTGCAGTATTAGAAATAGATGTACAGCATTTCTCTTAGTAAATCAAATAGGATTCACACATTTTACCCAACACAATTTTTTAGTTTTCTCTTTTCCCTTCTGTAATTGTAGTGTACTAGATCTAAAGATTTTTCGATGTATTTGCAAATCCTGATGACTTAACAAAAACAGTGAAAACTAGAAAAAATACAATTGAACAAGCAACTCACAAGGAGTCACAAGGACTTGCACAGTCTTCAATCAAAAAAATAGGTCCAGAGAGGGTAAGTTTCCACGTCGTGTTACACAAATTTGATAACAAGAGAGGCATTATTGTGCTAGCTTTTGGGCTTTCCAGTACTAACTCAACTAATTATAAGATGTGCTGGATTAACGAAGTTTTCATTTATTTCATCTGGAAATTTGTTAGCAAAAAAATGTGTTCAGTGCGAACATGGGTACTGAATTTTGAAAACTAGATGTTGATTTTTGCTACTGAATGCAGACTAAAGGTCCTCTATTTTCTTGCTTGCTATTAATGTATTAATGTTACAAGTGTAGTACTGAGTGGTAGTTCGGTAACACTACTCACAAAGGTTGGATTAGCAGTTGTTGTGGTTGTGTTGCTGAGTGCTCCTGCTGTTGTTGTTGTTGTTGAGCGTTTGTTCGTCGATTCAGCACCGAACACGTTGGAGGAAGACGCGTCACATCTTCGTGCCCTGGCACATTCGCCGCTGCGTTTGTCAACATCAGATGGCCATGACCTGAGCTTCTTTCCCAATCACACTTCAAGTCCCTATCCTTCACCTGGAGCTACTCTGATTTATCTATCACGTATGATTTTTTTATTTTTCCTTTTTACAGTCTTTATCTGTTTTTGATTTGTATTTTTTGATTTCAAATTAATATAGAAATATCACTTTCCACAAGTTGTCTTCAAAATATTTGACAGTTCCTTCATGGATTACAGTTCATAAATATTAATTATTAATGCGCGAACTGAATAGGATATAACGCGTTCGTTCTTGTGGCTAATTAATGTTTGTGATGCTATTGATCGTGATGATAAGAGTAGCGGTGACGATGTTTACACTATAACTACTAGTACACCTTTGAATTTTGTAAATGAATGTTATGTATTGCGTAGATCTGTTGCATGTACATACAGCTCCGTCAGTGCACTGCTGCTGAAGTGGTGTTGTGCCAGCTTGGTTTTGTACGCAAATGTAACTGTTCCTGTTGCAACCGGATTGGCTTTATACTGTAACTTAGTTGAGTCTTTTTGTATTATACAATAATAACATGCTTTTTATCAGTGACGATATTCTTAACAGTTTACCACGAGACATTAAGGACTGTTGTTAATTTTTGCATAAATAACAATCATGTAACTTCTTTCTGGTGAAAATTTGACTCCATTTTTTTAGCAAGAATTCATGGTAGGTTTTTATCCATATCAGGTAATTGTGGTGCTGTTTTTTTCATTTTTACCTCTCCTCTTCCCTTAATTGGTGGTTCTAATTTTATACTTCTCTAATTTTTTTTTTTACGATTGGAACAGGAAGTTCTGAAAGGTGATAGAGCAGCGCCAATGCATCTGCTTTTCATCTGGTGTACACCCTTCTATCCATACACGTTCATCTTCTCTCTCTTTCCGCTCCCCCTTCTCTGCTTTTATGTTTGTATATATATCGCATGCGCGGTGTTCTCGCTTAGAATAGGTCAGTTCACTGGAAAGCTGCTGGATATGAAATCAGCGAACGTTACGATCCTCAGGAACGGCTCCTTTCACCGTTAATCCTTGACAACTAGCACAGCTGCTGTTAAACTCGTTTAGTTTTCAAAAACTTGTATTTTGTCATTGCATCGGATAACGTCTCCACAGTTTTTTGGCTATAAATTCATTTCCCGCATGATGATAAATGTCGTATGTAATACAACAGTCTTTGTTATCTTTGACCTTGACATAATTCATGTGCCAGCGGACGCTGTCTCGGGGATGAACTGCAGGAAAAATTCAAATAACATCTTCAAGGTGTTCTCTGATAGAACTGCTGTAGTTCTAGTGTATACGCTAAAGGTTTTATTACAGGTGACGATAATCAGATCACAGCCAATGCGCATGCTCATGATTTCTCAGAAAGCCTCACAAAAGGTTTGCACGACTCAACTGGTATGCATCTGATTCATGCTGCAGAACCGGTATTTTTTGCAAACATTTGTGTTGATTACTCAGTGAATATGACTACCTTTTTAAAACGGATATGGTAGATATGGTTCATTTTGTTGATTTACAAGATTTTCATGGTCCGTAGTCATGTTGTCCAAACCTTCAAACTGTTTGTGGGAGAGTATAAGATAATTCGTCCCATAATAGAAGTGAGAGGGAGCATAAGATAATTGATTCTATAACAGAAAAAGCTTTGAAATGATTTTAGAATTCTGATTTCCTGTTTTATTATGCTCTATCTTTCGCTTTTGTTCCACGCATAAAGTGGTTACCAAAGCGTACTGAAGTGTGTTGTCCTTTGAAAATGGACTACGCTGTGATGTATCGAATAAGTTGTGTGTATTTGCAGATGTTGTCACGAAGCTCGGAAGTGGAAGGTACGGATGGCGATTTGGATGCTTTAATTCGCAAAGCACAAGTAATGCGTTTTATATTGTGTCATTTGATTAACATTAGGCGAGAAATGATTTGGCTGTGAAATGATTTATGATCACAAATAGATTAAAACAAATTAAGAACAACCACACCCAGTTCTAGTTTTGAACGTCTTTAGTGAATGTGAAACATATGGTGCCTTCATTTTATATGACTCGTGAAGTGGGGTCATATGATATAGTCATATAAGTTGTATAATGTATCGAGTCAAAGCTATATATTATGGGACTCATTTATCCTTTATTTTTATAATTCTCAATGCGATTGTAACAAAATTCTTTCTAGCATGAACCCGTTACTACAGCGATGGCTGACCCTTCTTTGGATGTATCGCTTTCTGACAATGTTCCAATAACGAGAAGCACCGTGCAACCTAGGTAACGTTAAATTATTATTGGTTGAATACCTATAAAAAACCTACTGGTTACATAATACTGCAGTGGTTCATTTAATACACCAGTTTTTTTCTTGGGAAAATCGATCCCGTCAATCCTCATCATCGCAAAGATGTTCTGTCTTCCCGGTGATATGCGGTCTGTGAAATTAGGTATTGTATTATCGAATTTATAATTTATTGTTTATTTCAGCAAACTTCTCCACAAAACGTGAGTTAATATTAGTTGCTGCTGCACCATACGGCATGTTATGTTTCTTTTATTCATTCGATCTAAAGGCCGATTATTGTCCATATCTAGTTTTTCTCAGCTTTTTAAAATAACTGCATTTTGTCTTGGCGAGCTCTGACAAGTGCGAGGCACGACACTGTTGTCCATTTCTGGAAATCAAAAATCTGTCAAGAAAACATTTTCTTGGTTTATTTTAAAACTTTCTCGACTTCTGGAACTGGCATGCTGCACGCTATCCATTTCTCTGATATTTTATCATTTCAATTAGACATACCTTTGTACTTTTTATTGCTTGAAACTCTTTAAACTATCTTGCATAAATGTTTGCGTTCAGTTATTATTTTAAAGAATTCTCAACCTTCAAATACATATTAATGAACCTTACGAAAATCAGTGGAATTTAAATCATGCGCGAAATAGGCTTTACTTTTATTGTATTTGTTCCTTCTCTTGAAACAACGCTCGCAAAAAATCGGCTTCGTCTTTACTGGTGTAACTTAATGCCTTGAGCACATCTCTTCTTTGTTTCTGTTGGTGAAAGTTCACCTACTGTCTCATGAACTTCATGCTTCTAGAACTGAATGAATAGCAGCACTAACTTGCGACTTCCATGCACTTTTTCGTTTTATCATCAAGTTAGCCAATATTTCAGTTTCTTAATTTCGTTCATGGTGGATGCGCGTGGAGGAGCTATGCGTGGCTGCCGACATTCTGGTGTGAGAATCATTATACCGCCAAGAAAAGCGCCACAGCCTACACGCATCACATGCAGATACCTCCGGAAGGTAATTGTTTTTAACTTTGTTTTGAAGTTTAGAAGCGTGAATTTAAATTTAGGGAGTGTCCTATCCCATGTTTTATTTCTAGGATAAGTTAGCACATCCACCACCGTTAAGTGAAGGTGAAGCGCTTGCATCGCGTATACTTGAAATGGCGCCACATGGGGCAAAATTTTTGGGTCCCGTTATATTGGAAGTACCACACTTTGCATCACTTCGTGGACGAGAGCGAGAGATTGTCATTTTGCGTTCCGATGATGGACAGCATTGGAAAGAACATCAATTGGAGGCGACAGAAGACGCTGTACAAGAGGTTTGTGCAACCAAATTTTCTGTACAAGTTTTTTTTTTTCGAACTACACTAAATCCTAACTATATTTTTTATAATTGAGGGAGTTGGTCATTCCTTTCAGGTACTGAATGAATCATTTGATGCCGAGGAGTTGTCACAGCTTGATGATTTGCATACATCACGAATTACACGTATCCTCACCAATGATTTTCCAATGTATTTTGCGGTCGTTACTCGTGTTCGGCAGGAAGTACATTGTGTTGGTCCAGAAGGCGGTGTAATACTCTCTTCAGTTGTTTCCCGTGTACAGGTTGTTCTTAGGAATTCATTTCAGAAATCTGGTCTATTTTGAAGCTTCTTTATTACTCCTCATTAATGTTTGTATTCTTTTCTTTTGTCTAGCTAAATTCACTATAAGTATTTGTACTTCCACACTGGACCATTTTCCAGGCTATATTTCCGGATGGTTCTTTAACCAAGACGATCAAAGTATCTGTACAAGCCCAGCCAGTTCCACAAGAAATAGTCACTCGTTTACACGGGAATAGAGTTGCAGTATCCCCAATTGTAACTGTTGAACCGCGTCGTCGCAAATTTCATAAGCCTATAACACTATGCATTCCATTGCCACAAAGCTCAAATAAAGGAATGTTAACACAATATAGGTATTGTTTTACTTCATTTGTCAAGTCTCTTAATAATTTGAAGTGAAACAATTACAGTTCGGCTAAATTTCTTATTTTTGCTCCACGAAATTTTCTTGCTGAGGGACAATTGAGGTTCTTTTTCATCAAGAAATAGAGCTCTATTGCAGTGTCGAACTTTTACACTATATTTCAGCATTTAAAACAATTTTACAAATTTTAGCGGTCAACCAGGACAAGAGCCACCGACGCTTCGTTTGCTCTGCAGCATAACTGGCGGATCTGCCCCTGCTCAGTGGGAGGATATTACTGGAACCACACAGTTAACATTTACTGGTCAGTCTGTTGAACAACTCTTTGTCTCTTCAATTCTTCGTTTTGAAAAAAAAGATGTGGTAGAAATGCATGATTAATTCCCTGTTTAGCTTAACTTTCTGATATTGTCTCATTTTTTTTGTTGGTCTAGGCGAAGATGTTTCATTCACAACTACGGTTTCTGCTCGATTTTGGCTGATGGATTGCCAGACTCCGCGGGATGCGGCTCGAATGGCACAGGAAGTTTACAATGAAGCAGTTGCAGTTCCATATATGGCTAAATTTCTGATTTTTGCTCGACGAACTTTTCCTACTGAGGGACAGTTGAGGTTCGTTTTCACCCGCTTGCAAATAATTTTTGACTAATTTCCTGTCATTTTTTTTTTCCAAAATTCAGTTGATAAACAAAAATAATATTGCTCATGATGCTCAGAATTTTAGGTTATTTTGTATAACTGATGATCGGGAAGATAAAACTCTGGAGAAACATGAGCATTTCACTGAAATTGCTAAATCGAGAGATGTCGAAGTTTTGGGCGGGCGACATCAGTTTTTGGAATTTTCTGGGAATATTCTTCCAATAACGAAAAGTGGCAACCAACTTTCGCTTTATTTTTTGCCATTCCAAGAAAATCGTCTTGCTTTCATGATAAAGGTATCACAAGCCGCCAAAATTTTTATATAAAATATATAGATATAAATATATATACCTACCGTTATACCCTGATTATTCTTAACCGTTTATATAGCAGAGCTCATCTGATCTGTAGGAGTGGTGGATTATACCAGGGAAAAGGTGAAACTAAGCAATTTTCAGTGAAGCAGTGCACAGAAACATGATTTTTTGCTAAAAATTTTTTCCAAAATCAGTAAATAAAAAACATGTTTTTATGCAGTGTTTAGCAGAAAATTGCATAGTTTCAGCTCTTCCTCGATATAATTGATATATAATTCTGGTGAATCTAACTGTGGATTTTAATATATGTCATCGCGATGAGTTCGAAACTTGCATTTATATATGTTTTTTTTTCCGTTATCTGTCCTGGTTTTTATTTGACGGTGTGGTTTTTGATTCATTTCTTATATCTCTGCAATTTAAATTCAAGACGCGCGCTCATACGGATAGCGAAACTGCTGTTGATGGCCGAATAGCATTTATGAAAGAGCCAAAAAATGAGAGCCGAAAATTTGCCTCCTCAAACGCCGTTATGCACTCTTGCAATCACTCTTCCGGAATACACGGGGCTGGTAATATTTTGAAGCTTAAGAATATGTAGAGAAATGTAAATATGTGGATGAAAGAGATTTATAATGTAGTCGGAGAGTGTTAGAAGTTTTTTTGAAGAAGCGAACTCAAGATTTTAATATTCAATATTTACATATATGCGATGAGTCGAAAGTGATATACATATGCACTCTTTTTTGCAATGTTTTTCATATTCTGAATTAATTCTTTAGGAGCCGATGGTACCCAAAAAGCCCTTCTTTCCGGAAGCTCCTTTGACGGAGAAATACACTGGAGCTTTCCATGAAATTGCCGAGTCTGATGACTTGCAGTTGCCATATGTTGCTCGATTAATTGGTGCTGATTGGCATCGGTTGGCTCGAGCGCTAGAAGTACCTGATATTGATATACGACAAGTTCGACATCAGCTAGCTGGTCTCGAAGCAATCACTGTTCTGCGTATTTGGATGTTTTTGAAGAAAGAACAAGCGACGCGTAAGTTTTGCTCCAACAATGTAAAGTGTTGGAAGAAGGGTTTTGTTAATGATTAAAACTTCTGTTAGGAATAATGAAATTGTATTTCATAGTAGTTTCTGAAATATTTGTCAACATTGCAGCTGCTGCTTTGCTATCGGCATTACAACGAATAGGGCGTGATGATGTTGTACGAGAAATGAATCGAGCTGAAAAGCCGGATAATTTAGAAGGAACACCCGTATCACATATTTCTGGACCTTCAGTAACATTGTCAACCACTTCGCTAGAAGGAGCAAACGACAAACGTCGTTACCCCGAAGTATGATAATAATAATGTTTTCCTGAAATTTATTTTTATAGTTAATGACATGCAAGCTTTAAAACAAAAAAAAAAACGTGAAATCTTCAAAGGTGACGTCAACGAGACAGCTAGTGGTGGAGAAACCATTCTTTCAACAGTCGGAATATTATGGGACAGATGGAGATACAGAGGAACCGAAAGAGCAGCCATTCAGCGGTAGTTCACCTCTTTTAATGAATGTAAAATGCAGACTTTTGAAGTATGAGTGGTTTCATCCATTGTGTGCAATTGTGTAGATTGAACGTTATTCATCTCTCTGATCCATCTTGAAACACGGAGGAAGGAGTCTAGCATATACGCAAGTTGTTGATAGTAAACCTGATTATAAAAACATAATGAAAGTAAACATTATCTTTGGTGTAGTTGACATATGATCTCTCTCTCTCTCCATATATATATATATATATATATATATATATATATATGTA